TGAATGAATGTAAAATTTTCACCACCCTATAAAGACAGAGTGATTGAAATATGACTAATATCTAATAATATAATATCTAATATCTAGCAACTCAAAGCTAGCAACTAATGCTTTTTTTGGTCCAGACTCACACAATTAGTTTTTAAACATTGTTCTGTTATTTTTATTGATTGTATTTTTATTTTCATTTAAATTTTCACTTTAAATAAAGAAAGCCCCAGAATACACACACATTATTCACACACAAAGCCTCACATCATCAGCTTTTATTATTATTGTACTGTAGCGTATGTCTGATCAAAAACTGTGAAGGTTCTCAGTCATCCAGGTCATCTTCTTTCCAAGCTTCTTAGAATTTGATCAAAAACATGCTAATTGTGAATATGATTTCAAGCCACAGTAAGACAAAATTGAAAAAAATGAGACTACACAAATTCATTTGGCATTACAGTTCAGTAATTTCACTAACGTGTGATTAACTAAAATTCAGTCAAAATAAAACAAGACTGCATCAAACTCAGAGTTATGATCTCATTTGTTATGAAAGATGAATATAAACCAGATATACTGATTAAGTACTTTATTTTTTGAAGAGTAGAGAGTAAGATTAAAACAATAATGCTCATATAAAGACAATGTTCACTGTATGAAATTATCAATAATTTATATCACTTAATTTAAAACACATTATCTGAAGGTGGTGCGTTTTTATTTACGTGCGCTCAGAATAGTGGCACAAAAATGACACCTGAAAGCTGAAAGATGAGATGTGCTGTAGTGAGAAGAGAAGAGATACTGAAGCTTATAAAGACACAGAGGAGCAGAAGTAAAAGAGGAAGAGATTCAGCAAAACAGCTTTTATTTATAGAAACTTAAATACTGGATTGCTAGTTTTTTCTTCTTAAGTTAAAAGTATCAAAAGGAAAACAATGAAACACATTCACACATTATCCGATAAATCAAAATTCTATTTCTCTCAATCAATTTGGTGCAATTCTCACAGCAGAAAGGTCATTCTCACCAGTCTACATGCTTTGCTCAAAACAGTTAGGGCATTTTTCATAACTCACACTCAACTGTGCAAAAGACAACGTAACTATTTTATATTTGTCAAAACATGAATAGTCTGTCAGTCACCTCATCTCTGTGATAAATGATCATTTCCCCAGCCTGAAGACCAATTCATTAAAATGTTTAGTTTTTTGTT